CTTAGGTTTCTGAAAGTGAAATCTCACTCTCTTTCCAGTTCCTACATTTACCACTAAATTTTATCTGGCTGAAATGGCCAGATAAAATGGCCATCACAACTTGCCCCTGGAATATCTTGTATACTCAGAGCTGTGAGGGGTTAACACAGAGCCCATGCAGCCATGTCATCACTACATGAAGATTCCCCACCCCAGGAAATCCCCAGCTGTCTGTTTAAGCCAGTTTTCCAGCTCAAATAGCAAGAATCAGAGTCCGAAACATCACAAGATTGGCTTAAAAATCATGAAACTGTATTTGGTTGCTGGGTTTGAAGCCTCCAGGGTGCATTCAGTTCATGTTTTCAGACTTTTCTCACATCCATGAGGAACGGAGAGTTATTTTTTTCCTGTTTAAACGAAAGCTGGGATTTTCTTGAAACCACTTGACTCCGAGAGCTGGAGCTTTAAGAAAATCACCAAGCGTGGAAAGAGTTGGCAACAATGATAAAGAACATACTGTATCTGATTCAAACCAGGATGGTCAATATCTAAAGCTGAGGAACCTCACTGCAATATTTATCCTCATCTCCAAACCAAGCAGACCAAAGTCACACGTCTACTGCTTCCTGGGTCCCATCTAGTAACATACAGGATAGTAAGAGTACCAAATTCAATTGAAGGCCAACACACTGCTATTATACTGTCCCTATAACAACGTGATAAACAACGTGATAAACAGTCTGATAGCAGAATGATATCATTACAGAATAAAAATTATTAAGGCACAGTACAAAACTAATGCTTTTAATATAACCCTAACCAGTTTGTCCCAGCAGACATTGTAATCTATTTCAGTCTTTTTACTGGATTTATGAAAAATACACAGTTCACCTTAATTCTTCTGTGTGCTGTATATTTATTTTCCATGACAACATCTTCCAGAGCTGCAGAAGAGCATGTCTATTTCAATGCTATCAATATCACTTTCTGTCTAAAGACCTGAAGTACAGTTAATGAGCGAGACACATTGTTTGCTACAGTGTGGTGTTTTGCTTTTGCCGCTGTTGTATTGCTGGACAGATCACCATGGTCTATGGCCTCTCAGTTCCCTTTGGGGGTGCTAGCTGAAATGTCAGCTTTAAAGCACAACTGGCAACAGTACTCAAAGGAGCAGCAAGAGAAAGAAGCATAACAGGCGACAAAGCTGACATCAAATATTAAGCCAAAAAAAATTGTAAAAGGACTTCTGTAAACGTTCAGGGAACAAACTTCCCGGGTCTGGAGGAGAACAGGGTCACCGCCAGATATCAGAGAAGCAGGACAAACAGGTGTTAATCAGCCAGTGTTTATCTACTGAATCTGAGAGACTCTAATAAGGCTTTGTCTACACTGAAAAGTTTTGCACTTTAACTATGCTGGCAAGTGGCAAATCTATCTCAGGTACTTTTATGGCCCCCATCACCATTGTATCCGAGCTCCTCCCGATCTTCAATGCATTTGTCTTCCCAACACCCCTGTGAGCTATTATCCCCATTTTACAAATGGCGAATGGCCTAGGGCAAGATCCCCTCCTCTCCTGGTAGATACTGGTCCAAAAGCGCTTTACGCCAGTTTGGGACGCAAAATAAACTATACTGGGACAGCACTTTTATACTGGTAAAACTGCGCGTACACTAGGGCTTTTACCACCATCGCTATATCAGCAAAAAAAAATCTCACCCCGAACCATCACAGCTCTGCTGGTAAAAGTTTTAAGGGCAGATCAGGCCTAATGTACCACTGAGATGACACTTCCCATCTGCCAAATGCTTTATCATCAACTCATTAATCCTCACAACACCTATGGGAGACAGGAAAGCGCCTTACAAACAGGGTAATTAAGGGGAGAGAGTTATATTGCTTGCCCCTGGCCACAAAAAGAGTAATTGCCAGAGGACAAATTAGAACTTGGGCATTCTTTATTGGCAAGCCTGTGCCAAAGGCCCACCTGTGTTGTGACCTTACCTTAAAAGAGGGGCCTGATAAAGTTTTGGGGTGATACCTAGTACATTGTATTTCATTAAGCATAAGCAGACTGGTTTATTAGAAGCCCCCATCAAGTCATTTAAAAGAAAACAAAATCTTGCACGGATTGTGATTTCCTTTAAGAAATCTTACACAAGGAATTTCTTTGGGCACCAATCTAGCCCTTTCAGACAGATGTCTTCCAGGATTCCACCTCTTCTTTCTCTGCCAGTTAAACGTCATCCTGTGGCCCTGGAACAATGGGTGTGGCGTCCACAGGAGTTGCACAGTCCAGCCCTACAGCCACAGATGCTTGAGCAGTTCTCTAAGGGACCACACATACACCCCCAGCAAGGTGGCTGTTCCTTCCCAGGGACAGAATTACGCATTCCACCAAGCCCCACTGCCCTAAATGGATACCAATCTGGTAGCTATGGATTCAAAGACAGGAAAAAAGATTGGTCTTGTGCTTGAGGAACTAGACTGTGGTGCTGCCACAGGCTCCCTGTATCACCTTGAGCAAGTAATTTCGTTTCTCTATGCCTCTGATCCCCAACTGTAAACAAGGAATAATTATACCTTCCCTCCCACCCTTTATCTGGCCTGTCTATTTAGACCAGAGGGTGCCCCACCTATGGGCTGCACCTGGCCCACCAGAGCATTTCATAAGGCCTACTTCAACACAATATACTAACGGCCAATTCATTAGCATTTTGTCATCATGTTAGTTTACACAACCTATCTAACTACATACGAAACAAGCTGAACTTAAAATATAAATCGATACAGGTGCCTTTAAATCTTATTAAAATACGTAGAATCTGTTTGACCCCCACAAGGTTGTGCTTCGGTTTATGTGGCCCTCCTGTGTAATAAGGCTCGGCACCACTGATTTAGACCATAAACCCGTGGGGCAGAGACTGTTTCACGGTATGTTTTTGCAGGGCTTCCCACAATGGGATCTCCAGTACTACTGCCATATGATTATAAATGAAAAGTCCTCTTATCTGCACCCAGAAGTCATCTTCAGGATGCATGTTCTGCCGACAAAAAGGGAGACCACAGCCTTTCTGAAAACGTATTAATTAACGTGCCAGATCCTCAGCTGGTGTAAACTGGCATGGCTCCACTAACTTTAATGGAACTACTCTGATACAAATTGGCTGAAGATTTGGCCGACAGGCTACTCCCTTTAAATGAGTCTCAAAAATACATTTTTCCTCCCTGTTCAAATGCATCCCCTGTTCCATTGTATTAAATCACTATTTCCTAGGAGTGAGTAATTATATTGCCTGAAGATCCATTAAATATCTGCTTCTGGCCTGAAAATGTACTTCTGAAGTCATAATTATTCATTAAGAAGCTACTTCCTGCATCTACTGGGATGGTAAATTTATATCTGCTGGAACCTAGGCAAGAAATGATCTTCCATCAACAGAAACCTCCCACAAGGAGTTGCCAGCTCAATTATCCTTCTATCACCGCCTGCATCAGGGGATGTGGTAATCACTCTTTCAAACTTGTTCTGACTTCAGCGCTACACACATCTCCTACCCACGTGCAGTTGCCTCCCTGCCACCAAATACCCAGGCCACAAGGTTTTCCGCTCAACTTTTAGAAAACGACAAAGCCAACGAATGACTTAGCCCCCCCCTCGCCCCCCCCAAAAAACTATTGTAGGTATGCCTACAGCAGCATGGTATATCTGTTCCCTCAAGTCGTTAGAGCCAGAAGCAACCCAGATTACCATTTCTTCACGGCATCTCACAGGTGCAGGTAGCAGGAGCAGCAGCCAGGGACGTGGGAAAGTGCCCTGAACTAACCAGACCATCTCTGATTCACCATATATCTGCACCACCGCATCCCTTTAATTTACACGTTTAATTGATTACAGTGTGAGTTCTCAATGGTATCGGGTGTAAATTATTTGAAATGTAATGATGGGATACAGGAAGAGAGCTGGAAATAACAGGAATTCAAGCTGAGGAGACAGACCTGAAGGAAAGTACAACTGTCTATTTTTATTATTATTTATTAACCAGGCTTATTATGGTAGAGCCTAAGGACCAACTGAGAATGGGGTCCCACTGTGCCAGGCACCGTCCAGACACAGAGCAGAACAGAGTCTCTACCCCAGAGAGCTTACAATCTAAACTGATAACACAAACACTAGCCAGGGGGAAAGGAGTATAACATACCAAACCATGTCTACTAAAACCAGGCAGCCAGTCGCACCTGCTGAAGTTCCCACCCCCTCAAGAAAGATCAGTTAGTTAAAACCTCCCCACCTTGTTTGTTCTTTAAGCAGCTCTCTGGTCCTGGGGAGAAGTGGTGAGTAACAAGCCCATCCCATATTGATGAATTAGAGTAAGTGAATACAGAAGACATTCCTCTACAAAAAACAAATGAGACGGCTTCCTGCTAAGACAGAAAACGCAAAGCTGGAAAAAGTCAGCCATCAGACACCAGTGACAACTATCACCTCAGTGAACAGCTGTCACGTGGAGCAGCAAATTAGAATTCTCCTCTGCAAAGAATCCGGGTTGACACCTGTGGTCTGGAGAACATTGACAGTGCAGCAGAAGAGCAGAGGAGAACATGAAAGCAACCTGTAATCTCAGTGTGCCATAGGTGTTAATTAACCTGGCAGCCAACCAAACTGCTGGTATTAAAATCCTCTTATCTAGGGAGTGCACATTTCTGCAGGGACCATTACACTTGGCACAGAGTCAGCAGGCTATTGTAAAAAGCATAGAGACTGAGGCACATTACTAATAATTAGCTGACAATCAGAACATCTGTTAGTACTAAAAAAAATGTTATCTAAAGAAATACACATCTGAAAAGTCAGCAATAAAAAATAAAGCAAATAAAAGCAACTTTTGAAAAATAAATATGAATGACTTCCAGTGAGAAATCCTCATAATCAAAGTCTGATCATTGTATTCACGCCTTCAGGAGATAAAATTTCAAGTGAAGGAATTTGTGCCTAAAAAGGAAAGTTTGTTTCTACATACCTGTCCAGTCTCCCACTATTTTAAGATGGACCCCAAATGTTGCTTTGGTATCTGTAGGACACTGAAAAAATTAAATAAGTTAAGGAACATTTCTGAAAAATAATTAAATAAACTGAGATTTAAGCACAATTTTGAAGCCAGATCCTTAGCTGGTGTAAATGAGAGTAGCTCCAGTTATTTACACCAGACGAGGAGCTGTCCTTTTATTATAAAGCAATTGCAACTTCAGTAAAATGCAGAAGGCCTAGAACAGAATGATTAAGGCTCCAAACATTCTTATCTCTCATTGTGATCAGGGAACAGGCCTGGGATGTATTCACCTTGGATGTGATTTAGAATAGCCACTCTGCTAAGTTGCGCCTAGCTACAATGGCTCACAAGGGATTGTTATGGTAACAGAGGATCGCAAGAGTGCAGCAATGCTCAGTATTGCCAACCCCAAGCATTCAAAAATCACTAGCCTCCAAATCACATATTGGGAGTTCTTTTTGGTTCCCTTCTGGCTTTTCAGCCTTTAGGGTTCACATTTTCAAGCTTATCCTCACAACCACGAGGACTAAAAAGTTACTTTTTTTTTTTTAAATGAAAGCTGAGAGTCTCTTGTATTCAAATGACTCCAGGGGATCAGACTTTAAGAAAAACACCAGATATCAGGGGATGCACGATAAAATCAAAAGAGTAGGCAATATTGCACTTCAGCCATGCCCCGATTCTGAAGGCCACACAGCTGCTTACACTGGACAGATGCCAACTGAGGACTCCCCCCGCCCCAAGCTTCTATTAAAATAAAAAACAAAATAATATTGGGGGATTTCAACTATCCCCATATTGACTGGGCACATGTCACCTCAGGACAGGATGCAGAGATAAAGTTTCTTGACAACTTAAATGACTGCTTCTTGGAGCACCTAGTCCTGGAACCCACAAGAGGAGAAGCAATTCTTGATTTAGTCCTAAGTGGAGCACAGGATCTGGTCCAAGAGGTGAATATAGCTGGACTGCTTGGTAATAGTGACCATAATATAATTAAATCTAACATCCCTGTGGTGGGGAAAACACCACAGCAGCTCAACACGGTAGCATTTAAATTCAGAAAGGAGGACTACACAAAAATGAGGAAGTTAGTGAAACAGAAATTAAAAGGTACAGTGCCAAAAGTAAAATCCCTACAAGCTGCATGGAAACTTTTTAAAGACACCATAACAGAGGCTCAACTTAAATATATACCCCAAATTAAAAAACATAGTAAGAAAACTAAACAAGTGCCACAGCGGCTGAACAATAAAGTAAAAGAAGCCGTGAGAAGAAAAAAGGCATCCTTTAAAAAGTGAAAGTTAAATCCTAGTGAGGAAAATAGAAAGGACCATAAACACTGGCAAATGAAGTGTAAAAATATAATTAGGAAGGCCAAAAAAGAATTTGAAGAACAGCTAGCCAAAGACTCAAAAAGTAATAGCAAACATTTTCTAAGTACATCAGAGACAGAAAGCCTGCTAAACAACCAGTGGGGCCACTGGACGATCAAGATGCTAAAGGAGCACTCAAGGATGATAAAGTCGTTGTGGAGAAACTAAATTAATTCTTTGCATTGGTCTTCACGGCTGAGGATAAGAGAGATTCCCAACCTGAGCCATTCTTTTTAGGTGACAGATCTGAAGAACTGTCCCAGATTGAGGTTTCATTAGAGGAGGTTTTGGAACAAATTGATAAATTAAACAGAAATAAGTCACCAGGACCAGATGGTATTCACCTAAGAGTTCTGAAGGAACTCAAATGTGAAAATGCAGGACTACTAACTGTAGTCTGTAACCTATCATTTGAATCTAGATAAATTAATGGAGGATAGGTCCATCAATGGCAATTAGCCAGGATGGGCAGGGATGAGCGACAGGGAAAGGATCACTTGATGAATACCTGTTCTGTTCATTTCCTCTGGGGCACCTGGCATTGGCCACTGTCAGAAGACAGGATACTGGGCTAGACGGACCTTTGTTCTGACCCAGTATGGCCATTCTTATGACATTAGGAGCCTGAATACCTCAATCTCTGTGCCTTTGTTCCCCATCTATAAAATGGGGTAATAGCACTGTCCTACCTCACACCCTACAGGGGTGTTTTAAGGATAAGTACATTACGTACTATGTGGTGCTCAGATAATACAGTATTGGGAGTACCTAATATAGATCTCTGCACCTCTGCTGTCCCATCTACAGAATGGGGGCAATAATACCTTCTGTCATAAATACAAAGGGAAGGGTAAACCCCTTTGAAATCCCTCCTGGCCAGGGGAAAGCTCCTCTCACCTGTAAAGGGTTAAGAAGCTAAAAGTAACCTCGCTGGCACCTGACCAAAATGACCAATGAGGAGACAAGATACTTTCAAAAGCTGGGAGGAGGGAGAGAAACAAAGGGTCTGTGTGTCTGTCTATATTCTGTCTTTGCCGGGGATAGACCAGGAATGGAGTCTTAGAACTTTTAGTAAGTAATCTAGCTAGGTACGTGTTAGATTATGATTTCTTTAAATGGCTGAGAAAAGAACTGTGCTGAATAGAATAACTATTTCTGTCTGTGTATCTTTTTTGTAACTTAAGGTTTGTCTAGAGGGGTTCTCTATGTTTTGAATCTAATTACCCTGTAAGGTATCTACCATCCTGATTTTACAGGGGGGATTTCTTTATTTCTATTTACTTCTATTTTTTATTAAAAGTCTTCTTGTAAGAAAACTGAATGCTTTTTCATTGTTCTCAGATCCAAGGGTTTGGGTCTGTGGTCACCTATGCAAATTGGTGAGGCTTTTTATCCAACATTTCCCAGGAAAAGGGGGGGGTGCAAGTGTTGGGAGGATTGTTCATTGTTCTTAAGATCCAAGGGTCTGGGTCTGTAGTCACCTAGGCAAATTGGTGAGGCTTTTTACCAAACCTTGTCCAGGAAGTGGGGTGCAAGGTTTTGGGAAGTATTTTGGGGGGAAAGACGCGTCCAAACAGCTCTTCCCCAGTAACCAGTATTAGTTTGGTGGTGGTAGCGGCCAATCCAAGAACAAAGGGTGGAATATTTTGTACCTTGGGGAAGTTTTGACCTAAGCTGGTAAAGATAAGCTTAGGAGGTTTTTCATGCAGGTCCCCACATCTGTACCCTAGAGTTCAGAGTGGGGGAGGAACCTTGACACCTTCCAAAATCTCAAGGCTGTCACAGGGATAAATTAAATTAATATCCGTGAAGCATTTTAGAGATGAAAAATGTTATTAGAGCTGGGAGAGTCTTATAGAATCATAGAACTGGAAGGGACCTTGAGAGATCATCTTGCCCAGTCCCCTGCATTAAAGGCAGGACTAAGTATTATCTAGACCATCCCTGGCAGGTGTTTGTCCAACATGATCTTAAAAATTCCTAATTATGGAGATTCCACAACCTCCCTAGGCAATTTATTCCAGTGCTTAAAATGAAGGACTGAAGAATATCTGGTTCCATTTTAATTTATTTGAGGATTTAGGGGGCTGCTTTTTGTTTGTTTTTTGAACAAATCCCAAATTCAGGCCACAGTTTTATTAAGGTTTATGATCTTGAGACAATTTGGGGTATCAGAAGGAAACCATGCAAAACAGAACTGTTCCTTATGATTTCCTCCCCAAACCAGCAGAACTCATGGACCTTGAAGCCAGATGAAGCAAAATCAAAGGAAAGTTTTCACATCTCCCTGCAAACTGCAACTACGAAGTTCTGGGTCACCATCGCACCTTCTATGCTATCCAATCCTGTTCACAATCTTATACTGTACTCACCACCATGGAACCTGAACCCCTTTGGAATAAAGAGACTTTGCTCAGACATCAAAGTTCCACAAAGATGAAAAGAACTATACAGTTTAAAAATGAGTTATATATTGGTATATGTTGTTAGCTATGTTAACATTCAGATAGTGCTAGAATGCAGGCGTAAGCATTCAAACAAACACTCACCCACTTGCCACTGATGGGCATGTTTGCCTGGCCAATACTGGCCAGACAACCTATGGACTGCAATCAGAAGCATGGACTAATGGGGCCACTTTATCCATGCAAAGGTAAAGTTTGCAGCTCCTCACCTAGACTGCTCCTATTGCAGCTTTTCTGAAGCCCACATGAAGCATGCAGCACCCTTGCCCAGCTGTTTGCCAGCAGGTCTCCAGTACAACCCTGATGCAGAGCTTAAGTCTTGAGGTGGGTTTTGTGCTGGATCTCTGCTCTGTGGGTAAATTTCTCTACCCAGGGAGATGGAATGATTTGCTCAATCCAGATGTCTGCAATTCCAGTTCATCACCTTTTCTATAAGATAAGTTTGTGCCCGGCACTCACTGGAGGTACCACCCCAGAGCCCGACTACCCCTGAATCTCACGCCCAGCACCTGCAGGAGGTGCCAGTTGCCCTCCTGCAGCCCGACCATCACAAAGCCTGGTTTTATAAAGAACTACAGAAGTGCTGTACCAGATTTTAAAAGAAAAGAAAGAAAAACGTTATTTCAATTAATATTTAAGAAAGATGAATTTTCACTTTTAACTGAGGGGCCACAGGCAAGAAGCAACCCCGCCCTTCCAACCCTGCCCAGTCACTGTCAATGCCCAATGCGAAAAAAGACTATCCTTCCTCTCGTGCTAAAACCTCCCTCCATCCAGTGTTAATGGCAAAACTCCCTCGACTCAGGTGGGTGCAGGTCCAAGCCCATTGTTCTTTACATCAAGGCTTCTCAAGCTATTGGATGTGGGGGACCAGCAATTTTTTCTTCCAATGTGCGCGCAGACTGGCAGCCGATGGCTCGCGGACCGGCACCGGTCCACGGGCCACCACTTTGAGTAGCCCTGCTTTACATGACTTATGTGAATAATATTCCCTTCTGCAGTACTCTGAACAACAACCCCGTTAACATCAGGATTTATTTCTTCTCACATTTTAGGAAGTATATTCTGACACCGCAGGCCTAAGGGTCCCTTGGAGGGCTCTAGAAAACCTTATTGTGCTATTAAATCTTCATAGAGGAAACAAACCCATCATGTAGGATATATAGAGCCTAGTTTTTAAAGTCTTAATC